GCAGGCTGTGTGTGGTCGAAGAGCTCGTTTGTGACCTCGACCGCGAAATCAATGAGGTCCCTAGCTTCACCGGCTTTCGCCCGCAAGCGGGCATAGGCGCCAGGCTGCTTCCAGATCATTGTGGGCTTGAGCTCCAGCAAGCAAGAAGTCTTGCAGGTTCTCTTGTAGTAGGCCTTCATACGCAAGTGTAGAGCGCTGCACTTTTGCGCTTGGTTGCCCTCGAGGTAATCGCAGGCCCAAGCCAAGATGCCCCCTAAGAATTCCAAGGAGATGCCCAAGTCAGTGGTGTGGAGCCAATCCATTTGGAAGGTTTCGGTGGTGACAAATGGAATGTTGAAGGCTGGAGAAATCGATTTCCCATCAGCCACCATCCTGACCAAGAGATCAGCATGGCAGAGGCGGTGGCTGGGCTGTCGCCAGTCGGAGTTGGAGGCCACTTCGCGAATGCGGTCTGGCGTCATATCACATCGATAGCAGCAGCCAGTTTTGTCGCGCCAGCCAGGGAAGCGAAAGACAGACTTGAGGGCTGACCAATCACCTTTGATTCCCAGCAGCACCCCACGGGGCAAAGGCATGGCAGAGCCCAAAGCCTTCTTCCTCCAGGCATCGGTGTCGTCAAATGGCTTTCCAGTTCCAGCAGGATCTTCGGCTCTTCGTCCCCCTTGAAGGCCTCGGCTCGCTTCATGAGGACCCGCAAACCATCGAGCAAGGAAGACAAGGCTGTCTTGGCATTGGAGACTGCACGGTGCTTCGGCTCCAGCGCTTTATCCGTGTCGGCCTTGACACGTAGCGCCACCTCCAGGTTCTCCAGCTTGTCAAAGGGGGCCTTGAGCTTCAGCTTCTCGCGCTTCAGCGCCTCCATGTTCTTGCACAGGCCTTCGGACTCAAACTTCACTTCGGTCTCATTTTGGAGCAACTTCAGCCTCTTGTTGCCCTTTTGGACATCAAGGTTGTAGACATTGACCTTCTGCTCCTGTCGCTTTAAGTGGTCCACAAAGTTGCCACCGTAGAAGACATACATGAACTTATCCAACTCTTTCTCCTCAGGGTGCTCTTTCTTCTCGGCTTTGAAGGCAAACTTCTCGACCGACTCAGCAATTAGGTGCTGCACCAGAGAATCCTTGCGCTCAAAGGTCATCGAGTCCGGCTGGAAGGCGTTCATCTCCAAAATCTGGTTCCTGGCAGGGCAGCAAACAAAAAATGTTCTTTTCTGTCTTGGGGGTGGGGACCGCTGTGGGAGTTTAGTTTCAAAAGAGTCCTTGTAAAAAAACCTTCGCGCAGCTTGTCACGGGACTCCGTAGCATCCGTGTGTTGGTTCTCCACACTCATGAGCCACTGGGTATTGTTCTTGCCGCCAGCAGCTTCGAACTCTTTGAGCAGGCCCTCCTTTTCAGTCGCTGTCTTGCTCCAGTACATGTCCAAAAACTGCTGAGCCTGTGACTTCTTCTCTGCATCCTTGGAGTGGTTGGCCCTGTACTTCATGAGGTTCAAGACACGCTGCTGAAGCTGCATCTTCTCTGCAGCACTTTCTACCTCCAAGGCCTCAGTCGACTTGCCCCTTTTCAATTTAGCTCCAGCAGCAGGCTCTGCCTTGGCCTTGGCTTTAGCAGCAGCTTTGCCAGCAGCAGGCTTTTTGGGCGCAGCAGCCTTACCAGCAGCAGGCTTCTTGGGCGCAGCAGCCTTGCTCGCACCAGCCATGGCAAGGACAAGTGGTACTCAAGACAAGTGGCCTCACAGACAGGGAGCTACTCAGGGGTGGACAAGCTAAGAGCAGCGCCAAGCAAGAGCTGCAGCTCATCTCTCTCTCTCTCACAAAAAAAAGAGAGCGCATCGCACTTGCCATCCTGTACGGTGCTCCCAAAAACCGGCAAAAGACAGACAAACACATCGACCCAGCAAGACAAGAACAAGAAAGGGGACAGGAAGGAGAAACAAACCGGAAGGACAAGATGTGCAATATGTTATGTCCTCAGGTCCTGACTCACCAAGAGCAAAGGACGCCAAGGTCTAGCCCCACCAGTCCAATGAACAAACATCTACTCCAAAGTCTGGGAAACAGACATTGAGCAGAAAGCCTGCGCAGCAAAAATTTTCAAATTTGAAAAAAAATCAAAAATGTTCCTTTTAATATTAAATTAAAAGGTAGACTTTTGAAAAAAAAATCAAATTTGAAAATTTTGGTGGGTGTGCGTGTGTGTGTGTGTGTGTTGGTGTTGCGCGCGCAACTGCTCCAAAACTCACAACTCGAGTTTGCTTCCAAAGCCACAACCGTTGAACTCCTATCTGTTTGTTTAACAAAGGAAACATTGCCAAATCCAAAGCCACTCAGCTGGCATATTTTTCCTGGCTACAGGATTGGTCGCTGTGACCGGTACGGATTCAGGGCATCTCCTGGCCCACTATACTTATAGGTGCCTCTGGTGAGTAGGGTCTGGGATCCAAACATATATACCAACCCTTAAAGAACAAACCCTTGCACTTAACAGGTGGTTATATATATATATAGCTTCATTCATTTGAGGGGTTATACCCACAGACCCAAACATGTTCCAGTGCAGGCTCTAGGAGCTCAGGCGCCACTCTTGGATGTGGCGGAAAACAGTCAACGCGCGGCGCCACATGAGGCATGTGGTGCTCAAATCCGGGGACGCGTCCAGCTCAAGGTTCAACGGGTTCTGCGTGTGTGGAACGACTTCCCACTTGGCGTCAGCAGCAGCAGGCCGAATGTCCTCGAAGGTCTCATCGCTCTGTCCTGCACAGGGTCAGGTGTGCGAAACAAACAAACATGCATGCAGGCCTGACTCCCAAGAGCAAAGGCCCAAAATCATGCGCAAAACACATGAGTTCAAACATATATTGTTTTTGGTTTTGGTGGCTTGCTCCTGACCCAGAAGGCAAAGGAGCAGGCCACCATATGAGTGTTGAGCACTGCGCCCCCCCCCTTTTTGTCCTATAGGAGCCCACCATGGCAACTGGTTGACCTTCACCAGGGACGCCACCGCGGACAAGTAGTCATCAGCCGTCAGCGCAGCCTGCGCACAGTCGGAGAGGAAGACCATCTGGGCATTCATCGCGTCATTGTTCTTCGGATCAATGGGGAGGAGGCGCTGGATGAGAGTCATGGTGCCGCGCTGCGCAGCCTCAACTGCAGTCGCCACCATACGGAGGTTTTCCTCCGTCTCAACATGCTCTTTCTCGACCAGATGGAGGTCATTCGGGCCCATCGGCTCCTTCGGCACAATGGTCACTTCCACCTCCTCGAGACCCGTGACTGTCGGGGAATAGGCCACATTGTCCGGCTGGTCCGGCTGGGACTCTGGCCAGGGATCCGTCAGATCCGTCTGTGTCGCCACAGTGCGGGGAGTCTGCGTCGACACCTCCTTCTCCCAGGTCTCCTTATCTTTGCGCTGCAGCGCGTCAGCCGCCTGCCGAGCCCGCTTCTGCGACAGCTTGTCGAAGCGCTTCTTGTTGTACCAGGACTCACGCTTGGCCTGGTTGCCCGAACGCTTCTTGCCCGCCTTCTCCTTGGTCCAGCCCCAGCTCTTTTGAGTCTCTCCCAACTGCTCTTTCACATTCTTCAGCCAGTCCTTCATGTAGTACTCCCAGTCTTCTTTGGTCCAGGAAGGTGAAGAGCGCGCACTGCCTCGCTTGCACTCCCAGTTGTCCTGCAAAACAGGGGCCAAAAAACCTGCCATTTGCAAAACATTGAGGGGATTTGTTGCAACAACAGCACCAACTATACACAAAGGGCAAAGGGCGCGCACCCTGACGCAAAGCGCAAAGGGCGCGCACCCTGACCCAAGTGATTTTTAACCCCGCACCAGTCCTCCTTGTCATCAGTGGCCTTCCACATATAGAAAAGCCGGCACATCGGGTTCGCGCACCGCTGTTTGCGGAGGTACGCCCATTGCCCGCACGCGTGGCACTGACGCAGGAACACGCTCACGCTGCCGCCGCCGCTGCCAGATGCCGAAGAGCTCGGATTGGCGCTACCAGCGTCGCCAGCATCCCTTTGGCGGTCCTGACAGGGGGTGTGGAGAGTTCGGGAACTGTGCGTGTTTGCTCTATGTATATTTTTTGGGTTATATATATATATGTAATATATAACATATATATATATATATTTCATGCAGTATCTTCTGACTCTAGACCTTACCCACTATTCTATACTTTTTTGGTTTCTGGTTTGGCATTCCACTCCTGCCCGGCACTCTGGGAGTGAGCGCGCTTGCCCATAGCTGCAAGAACTGTCAAGCGGTCGAGAGTCCAGGGGGAGCTGTCCAAAGTCCGCTGCTTCCTTTGAACCCGGCATGCATGCATCGCACACTTTGAGCTGCTGCAAGTCGACTCACTCACTTCAGACCTTGCGCCTCTCTATACATCTAGGCCTCCTGACCTCCCTACGAAGCTAAGGATGCCGTGACTGCCCTGGTGCACTGCTGAACCGTGTGCACGCGCGCGTATGTTGTGCTGCGCGCGGGGAAGCGACATGAACAGGACGAGATACAGAGGGGTCGACAATCGGGGAAAGAGACAAGACCAAACAACAAGACCAAACAAAACACAAATTATCCCCCAAAACAAATTTTGCTTTTGGTTCGCAGCTGTGCAATCAAAGAAGGCCCCGCTTCAGCGACTGAGTGGGCACGCACAGAAGCTCACTGCATTTCAGGTCATTGCAAGCACTCATGTGGACTCTTTCAAATGAAAACCCCTTAAATTAATTAAAGACTATAGTCCTTAAATAAGGTTGATAGAGAACCCTTTAAATTAAAATAGAGACTTTTGGAAGATCAGGGTAACAGACAAGACAGAACATCACAAAAGAGAAGTTATCACGCGGACTCAGTTCAAATGGTATCAAAAAACTGGAAGCCCGAGTGAAATGTTACAAGTGCCAGAAGATCGGCCACTTTTCACGGAATTGCCCGACCAGAAAGGGCAAAGCTGGTGGCAAAGGTGACGCAAGTGGCAGTTCTTCTAAAGTCAGCTTGGTTTACATGGTCAACCCCGCTGAGATTGAGGACGTGGAGGCACAGGTTGATGCAGTGATGAGCAGTTGGGCCGACAGGCCGAGAGACAAGTGGGTTGTGACAGACAGTGAAGTGACACGGATTCATGTCAACCCGCGGACGTCGCTGTTCAGCCCTGCAAGAACTGGATGCCCAGTGCCGCTCAGTCAGCTCAGCATGGCTCGCATGACGATCATGGAGTACCAGGACGGCGCCACCGAAGAGCAGTTCACCCCGAACTGGAAGAACAGCCTGGAGGCACATCGGACCACTCCGAATGTTTGGACTGGCAAGACGGTGTTTTACAAGCTGCAAGAGCATGGTGAAGACCAAGAATTCAACGCCAAGGATTTCAATGATGAAGCACTGTTCCGACTCTTCGACCCAGAGGACGAGTTGGACAGAGAGATCTTTGGAGACGAATACGCCTATCAAGTGATGGGTGTGGAGCAAGAGATCGATGAGATTGCTGAGGCCTTCTTCGCAGAGGCCACCAACCAAGATGATGAGGCATGGACCCTCGTTGACAGCTTGAGCGAGATCCCGTTCAAGGAGCCAGGCAGCAGTGAAGAGGAAGAAGAATCACGGTTCCAGGAGAGCAATTGTGCTCTCATCCATGCTGCAGGGTTTGGCATCCTTGACACCGGTTGTGGCAGGGGCCTGGTGGGTGCAAACACACTGGACAGACATGTCGCAAAGCTGAAACAACATGGTTACGACATTGTTGAACTGCCGGAGAAGATGCACACCTTCAGGTATGGAAATGGATCTGCTGACCGGACGGGACGAAGAGTGGAGGTACCAGTCTTCGTGGCAGGCAAAGAACTCCGAGTGCGCCTCCACGTTGTTCCAGGAGATGTGCCTTTGTTGATCTCCAAGAGATTGCTCAAGAGTCTTGGGGCCATGATTGACCTGAATGACAACAAGCTGGTCATGACCAAGGCAGGTGTGGCGGCAAAGATCCATGAGATGAGTGACAACTCGTATCAGATCAATCTGCTGGGCCTGAAGGCATCGACCAAGGTCACGTCGCCAGAAGTGGATGTGATGCATGTGGGACCATTTCATGAAGAGTCGAGCCACGACGAGGAGGAGGACACGGGTGTATGCTGCACATTCAAGGCCAAAGAGCGAAAGCAAGTGATGGCCAACATGAGCAGTGTCTTGGCACAAAGTTCGGAACCCTCTCCGACAGTCATGGAGCTCTTCTCGCCTGGTCGATTCAATTCGATGGCATCGCAGTTTGGCATGACTGGACGAGGCGCCTTGGACCTGAGTGTAGGTTGGGATTGGACTCAGAAGGATCATCGTAAGAGAGCTGAAGAGATCGTAGACATCATTAGGCCTAGTTTTCTAGTCATTTCTCCACCGTGTGGGCCACTCTCACTCATGCAGAACTGCACGGCAGAGCACACGCGTCGAGACCCGATCGGCCATGCACAAGCAGTGAAACATGCAAAGCAGATGGTAGTGTGGTCACTGAGAAGGGCGGTTGAATGCATTGATCAAGGTAGATATTTCCTTTTCGAATCATCCAAGACAAGTGGAGCATGGAGACTTGAAGAGATGCAAACCTTTGTTGCTAGGTACCACCCTTTTATTGTTGATGTGTCCGCATGTGCAGTAGGGCTGAAAGATCCACAGAGTCATCTTTTGTTCGGCAAGCAGTGGCGTTTCATGACAAACTGCCAGACGCTGGCAGCGGCTTTGGGCCGTCTGGTGTGCAGCAATGACCACGAACACCAAATCGTGGAAGGAGCGTCGCATGGCATGCTTCCATCCGTACGCACACAAGTATATCCCAGCCGACTTGTAAGGATAATGTTAGGAGCTATGTCCCAGCATGAAGCCATTACATGTCATTGTCTTGCAGTAAGCCAGGCGTCGATTCAAGGTGAAACCCCAGGTGAGAAGAGACGAACGATTGAAAGAGCTATCAACAAACTCCACATCAACCTAGGTCACGCCTCAACAGCCGACATGGTTCGCATCTTGAAGCATCATCACGCTCAGGACCATGTGATCGAAATGGTGAGAAGTTATGAGTGCAGCATTTGTAGAGCCAGAGCGGCCCCGAAAGCTGTCAAGGATTCGGCTCCTCCGAGAGACATGGCACCACTTCGATATATAGGTCTCGATGTGAAACACCTGCCATCGTGGAAACCCCACGAGAAAATCAAAGCCCTTAACGTAGTATGCCGCATGTCCGGACTCCAACAAATGTACCCTTTTCGAGAACAAGAAACGTCAGAAGTCATAGGAAGGTTGTACCGTCACTGGACCCGTGCATATGGAAGGCCAAGATATTGCAAGTTCGACGCAAGTAGGTGTAATCTTGGACAGCCGTTCCTTGATTTGCTTGAGCGTGACGGCACGACGCCTCTTGACATCCCGGGAGAAGCTCACGAACAGCTTGGGGACGTGGAAAGTCAGGGTTGGCATTTTGAAGAAGCCTTTCGTAGAGTCCTAGATCAAATGAGTCCCCAGGACTTCGTGCAGTGGCAAGAATGTGTTGATGTCACGTGCGAGGCTAGAAATTCACTGTTGCGAAGGGCCGGTCATAGTCCGTTCCAGCTGGTATTCGGCCGTGATCCGGAGTTCCCTGGTGACGACCTTTGCAGTGAGCAACCAAACCCTATCAGTAACAGTGCAATTCTAGAGGATGCCGTGGCAGAATACCAGCACCGAGCTAGAAGCACAGCAAGGCAAGAGATGCTTCGACAGCTTGACCACAAAGCCGCCCGAGTTGCATTGAACAGCCGCCCGCGACCAAGGCGGGAATTCCAGGTTGGTGATGAGGTGGCAATCTGGCGTCGAGGTAAGGGCATAAAGAAATCTAGTGCCAGATGGCGTGGTCCAGGTATCATCGCAGGTGGTGCCGGTGGAAACTATTGGGTGTCCATGCCTGGTTCCTTCGTGAAGTGTTCCCCTGAACAACTGCGTTTAAGAACCACAGAGGAGCGGGAGGCGGATAGGTTCTTGGTGAGGGATTTGAGGTCAGCTGCAGCATCCCTTTGGCCAGAGGTAGGTGTATCAAATCGTCCTCATCAGAAATGCTATTTTGATATCACGGCTGAAGATGTGCCACCAGGTGATCTGTCCCAAACGGGCAGACAAGAGGTGCCTGACTGCCGGCCAAATTGTCCCGCATACCCCGTCATCCTTAGATAGGCAATCCGGAATGCAAGGTTCGTTAGGAGAGGAAGCTTCCCCAGGAAACCCTGACATCCAAAGTCTCAGCAGTGGTAGTTTGACCGAACGACTCAGCCAACTTTCTCAGCAAGATCGAATGTCTTGGGAGGAATCTGTTCGACAGGCCGATCGATTAGATGGTTTGGTTAGAAAGGAGCACCCAGAACAGCAGAGAGAACCTTCCGAGAAGAGACAAAAGACGATGGAACATCAAATAGTAGGTGGTCAAGTGTTCCCACCCTCATTACCACATCCAGCAAGAGCATCAGGTGAACTCATCCCAGTTCCAAGCAGTGCCGGATCTAGTGCGGCTTCAAGCTCCCATGGACTCACCACACACGTTTGTCTTGTGGGTGATTCAGGTGCGAAAGCCATAGCCCTCTCAACCGAAGAAGGCGATGAGGATTTTGTACTGCGCATGGATGATGAAGCCGATCATGTCTTGCTTGCTGGAGGTCGGAATGAACTGAATTTGAAGGCTGATAAATGGAACAGTCGTGAAGGTCAACAAAGAATCATTGCAGGGGTCAGGAAAGAGGTGAAAAACGTAGTTGATGACAAACAGGCACTCAGACCCTTGTCCATTGAACAGTCAAGACATGTTCGACAGAATGCACCAGACAGAATTGTTCCTAGTAAACTAGTTCTGGTCGAGAAACTGGACGACGCCGGAGAAGAACTTGTCAAAGCAAGATGGACTGCCCGAGGTGACAAGGACCCTGACCTCATGTCACTCATTAGGCAGGGCAGCACACAGTCGCCCACCATTTCTTCGAATGGTAGGTACACAGTCTTACAAACCATTGCCAGTCATCGATTTCCGATGCAGCTTGGAGATGTGACCGGTGCCTTTTTGGAGGCAGATGAAATGGAGAGAGGAAATGGATCCCCGTACGCATTTCCTCTACAGATAGGGGTAGCTCGAGGCCCTTACAAAGGGGTCATTTTGTAACAAAGCACTTTTTGGCAGATGCCGAAACTTACACCCTCCTATTTTGTAGAGTCAAAATCGGCATCCAAGTTATGATCAAAAAAAATTAGAGAACATTTATATGAGACATGAGGACGTCAGGGTACCCTTTTTGTACAGGGCCAAAATCAAGGAAAAACAGGGGGTCAGGGTACCCTTTTTGTACACGTTTGAGTGTTCGTTTCTTGGAGTCAGATTCTTTAGTCGCCTGAGTCAGATACAAATACATACTCCGAGGTGAAAACTGATCCTTCAATGTCCAGATTCCTGAGCAGTCCTTGTGTTTGTTTGCCGCGTTCATTTTTTAGGATGGGAAAAAGAGCTTTGGGATGCGCCATCTATAGAATCTATAAAAACGCTTGGTTTGGTCAAGGTGCAGCCTTAGTTTTCGTGATGTTTAATGTTCAGTATGTGGTGTTGAGCCATCTATGGCTATGCCGGTTACCCCCTGAGTTGCGCTAACAACTTTTTCAGCGGCGTACCCGGTGTACATAAAACAAATCCACTCTGCATCCAATGGACTCGTCCCAGTACACGTGGTGCCATCCGCTGACCAAAGAGCATTGAGAAACTCAGCCACGATTCATAAAATGAGGATGGACCAAAGATTTGTTTACACAATGACTGTCACTAATGTTTGTCTTTACAAAGTGGGCATGAACAGAGAATCATATTGGCATGTCACACAAAGTCGGCATGAACAAAGAATCATATTGGTATTTGAATGCATTTCACACTATTTCACAGGACAGCAAAGGTCAAGTTTAGAATGGATAATGTGAATTAGTCTCCAAATACCTGAGGTTCACATTTTGTAGAGATAGTTCAGGGTCATCCCCATTTTGTACTGTAAGCAAGATTTTTAGATGTAAGCACTGTTTAATATACTTTCCGTTAGCACCGCAAGTTCATTAAACAAAAACAAAAAATCATATAGTTTCTGACATCGTCTATTAGAATCCGATGTTCAACATATGCCATTGCACAGTACAAATCGCCGCTCAAGTTTGGATTAAAAAAGAACAGTCAGATGCGTGCGCACACAGTTTCTCTACAGAATGGTTCCGGAATGGTCAACAAATGGAGTCTTAAATCATGTCCTCGACCAGGTATTTGATACCATTTTGTAGAGAAATCACTTTGCTGCATGGCTGTTTTATGCACTTTTCAGCATAAGATAGTGATCTTCAGGCATAACCTTTTTGTACAAGCCCACTCTGGCCCATGCCATTTTGTATAAGCCCAATGCCCTTGGGTCAGGGCTTTTTGTAGACTGTAACCCTAGGTCCCTTACAAAACTGCGGTTGTCAACCCCTCCCCCCTAATGTAGACGGGGATGGAAATGGTCGACTGTACATGTCACCCCCAAAGAACTTTGCGTTGCCAGACCATGATGCTGAACAGTTGTTTGAGGTTGTTCGCCCCATCTATGGACTCAATGACTCTCCCCAGAAGTGGTTCCAAAAGTTTGATGGAACGATCAAGAATCTCGGATGGGTGCAATCCAAACTGGATCATTGCATTTACTTTTTGTGGCATGGCAAAGAGTTGCAAGGGGTGCTAGGAGTGCATGTAGATGACGTGCTGCTAGGTGGTCGAGGACCCATTTTCGATCAATCCGTGCAGCAGCTTCGCAACACGTTCCCTTTTCGAAAGTGGAAGATTGGAAACGGCAGTTTTTGCGGATCTGAGCTGTCCCAGTGCCCGAACACCGGAGCCATCACTGTAAGCCAGGAATCATTTGCAGACAAGCTTGAGAAACCAAAACTGAGAAACAGAGAATCACCCTTGGTTGAAGTGACTGCAAGTGAGGCTTCGTCCTTGAAATCAGTGCTCGGAGGCGCGTTATGGCTGGCGAAGGAGACACGGCCAGACTTGGCCGTACAAGTCAGCCAGGGTCAGCAGCTGCTGCCAAAGCCCACACTCGGTGAAGCACGGACGATAGGAAACGTGGTGAGACGTGCAAAACAATATAAGACGATGTCTTGGAAGATTTTGCCAATCCCCATGTCAGAGATTCGTTTGTGTTTGCATACAGACGCAGCTTTCGCTAATGCTAAACGGCAAGGCACCCAGGCAGGGTATCTGGTAGGGGTAACAGATGACTTGCTTCAGGCGGGAAAACCCGCCCAATGGAGTCCGTGCGTGTGGAAGTCATACCGACTTAAGCGGGTAGTGGGTTCGACTTTTGCAGGGGAATCGCAGGTGCTCTCAGATGGGTTAGGCCATGCGGAATGGTTGGCATGTCATTTGTCAGAAGCAAAACATGTCGATTTCTCACTTGCCAAACGGCAAAGCTTTTTGAGTGAATTCAAGCTTCAAGCAATCGTCGACTGTAAGAGCATCTACGACCATCTCCAGAACTATGCTTCTCCAGGTAGCGTCGGTGACAAACGTGTCGCAATAGACCTGGTCATCGTGCGTGAAACATTGGCGCGAATTGGCGGTGTGATTCGATGGGCACCGACATGGCTGCAACTAGCTGATGCACTCACTAAGGAATCACCTGAAGCCATGGATCTTTTAAGAGCCGCCATGACGACCAATAAATATCATTTAAATAAGGAAAGCACAATGATGGAAGCAGCTGCCAGACAAAGGCAAGTTCGTTTGAGTAGAAAGACTGCTCTGGAGGTTGATGCTCAAGCCGGAACGATCGATTCCACCAAGGCCGAGTCTGCCGCACATTTTGTGCGGTCAAGCCCCATAGAACAGATGGTCAAAGTGGCCGTTGAGAAGATTTCGGAAGACGAAATCCGTTCGTTGTTTGAATGCATGGTAAGTAGTGTAGTGATTGATGGAGATGCTTACAGCAAGAACCTGCAGCAAACACGTTCGATGTGCAAATCCCGAATTCCAGCGAAAGAAGTCAACAGCAAGATCTTTGGTGGTGAGGATACGACCCTGACCTTCACGTACACGAAGAGCACGAAGATGATTCAGGTTCAGGGCAGTGCCACCATGCTGGACAAGGCCGAAGAGACATTGAAGAGTGTCTTGGAAGTGTACAAGACAGTGTTGCGCAGTGGGGAGGTGCTCCCCCTTCCAGAAGGCTGCAATCAATGGGCCGCTGCAATCAAGGAGAGCTTGGATAGCGGATCCACCTCGAAGTTTTTGGAAAGCCAGGCTGAACATGTCAAGAGTGAGCCAGGCGTGAAGACTGAAGAGATCAAGCAAGTGACCTTGGTTCCAAACGACGAGGCTTTTGAAGCAGCTGTGGCCGATTTGTGCAACGAAGGCGCCCGACGCCTGCACAATTTTCCGGCATGGCGCAACAAGTTCTTGTATTTTATGTTGCAGGAATTTAATGCTTCCACGGATCAGGTTTTGACCCTTTCCGAATTGACGGATCTCATGGAAGAACCCATGGATCAGTGGTCATTCGAAGAGCCTGTCCATGAAGCAAGGCCGAAAGTCAGAGCGGACGGATACCGTGCGTCTCGAGCGTCTCAGGCCAAGAAAGAATTTTAACCTGTGCAGTTCTCGACAGGTTGACCTGGACGCTCGAATGCCGATGTCCTTTGGCTTAGGCCAGTAGCATGCTTTGGACCTGGAAGGTCCCGGGGCGCATCGACGAGGCCATGAGCGGAAAAGCTGCGCTTTGAACGATCGGTGCATCGTCGGTTGGAGGTCACAGGAGTGACACCGTTGGTTTTGGGCTGCCAGTTTGCAATATATAATTGTATTTCAAGTCCTGGACTGGCTTCAGGTGTGCTGTCATCACCTTGGGTGGTAGCTATGGTGGGATGCTGGTCGCTTGGTTCCGGCAGAAGTATCCACACCTCACAGCGGGTGGCATTGCCTCTTCGGCACCCATCGACTTCTATCCTCGCGACGGGCGGCAAAGAGCCTTCTGGGAGGCAACGATGCACAGCTTCAGCAAGTTTGGGAGCGCCACATGCCCAAGTGAGTTGAAGACAGCCATGGAAAAGCTGCAAGAGAAAACGCAAAGCTGTGAAGGCCGAGAAGAAATCTCTAAGGCTTTAGGATCTTGTCAGCCTTTGCACAATGAAACTTCAGCTGGCAGCAAAGTGGACTTCTTCATTCGTGGTGTTGCCTCCACGCTGGCCATGTTGGACTATCCTGTAGCCACCAACTTCTTGACCCCGCTACCAGCCAACCCGGTGAAAGTCGTTTGTGAGGGCTTGGGGCAAAGCCCCGATGCCTTGTCAGGCTTGCGCAGTCTCCTGGACCTTTTCCTCAATACCTCTCACGGTTATCGCTGCTATGATTTTATGGCCGAAATGGTTGGGCGTCCCACTCAGGGAGACTTAGAGGGCCCTGTGAAGCCACCAGATATGGGACACTGGCAGTACCAAGCCTGCAATGAGATGCCCATGCAGTCTTTGACCAGTGACGGCATGGGTTTCTATCCCGCATCCGATGATCAGCTTCTAGAGGTGGCTGAGAGTTGCGAAACACGATATGGCTTTGCTCCTCGGACCTTTTGGCTTCCGTTGAGCTTTGGCGGGAGCAACTTGCAAGTGGGCCAACTGCTTTTCACCAATGGAGAGAAAGATCCGTGGCGTGTGGGGGCTCCCAAGGCTGAGAAGCTCTCAGAGGGACTTGACATTGTTCAACATTTGACTCTGGGTTGCGATTCATGGACCCTTTTGCGGGGTTCCTTTGTGAGTGTGTGTGTGTTTTGGCTTAGGGGAAAGCACGGGAAAGCCCTACAAGAGAACAATGGTTTGAGTTTCGGGAACAGTTTGTTACATTGAATAGAGAAGGATGCCAAATGTTCCACTCCAGACATCCAAGCTACTTTGCTTCTTTGTGTGCCACACTAGGATTTCAGCTGGAGCTCATCACGAGGACCTGCGCTTTGATGCTGATCCTCCTAAGGCACCGGTGTCGGCGGCCAAGGCGCAAGCGCTGGCGAGCATGAAGCGTTGGACTGCTCGCTGGACACGTTCGGAACGCGCCGAACGCATCCGGAGCACTGAGGCTCTTTTTGCTTAATGCACGCAGCGAAAGTCTAAAAGGGTATGGCTCAGAAAGGGGTCCAACGGATGACCAATGTTGATCATATCCAAGTGTTCGCCCATATTTGAGTCACACCCACACTACAGTACAGTAGACTCAGTGACTGCAGAATTGGAGTTTTGCCCTGGAAGAAAACGAGAGTGCGCAATGGGAATTACTTTTTTGAGCCGGAGATCTCGCTTTGGTCCAAGATGAAGTGTTTAGGGGTCGCTTCAGATCTGTCAAGAAAGTGGCTGAAGTTCACAGTTGAGACGGCTAGTGTACTGAGCTGGTAGATGGTCCTGATACCAACAGATCTCTTTGAATGCCATGGCAAGGTTTTAGCAGCTCGCCAGAGACGAGAGCTTGCCAGAGCTGCATCTTGGCTGGGTTCAGCATAAGCAGCCTCCCCGAGATTTGTTTTGGGAGAAGGGTTCTTTTTGTCCATCTTCTCTTTCCAACGTCAGTGGCAAGTTGGTGGGCGAAACCGAACAAGGCGAAACTTTGTCCAAGGCGGAGACCCCACCCAGTAAAGGCACGCACACTCACCGACCAGGGTGAGTAACCCATTATTGCTCCACGAAAACTAAAAGCTTTCTTCGGGCCACTGAGCTCCGAGGTCCGAACTGGGATGTGGATGTCAGACATCGTGACGCATCTTGCGGTTGCTTATTATGGTACGTTGGTTTTGCTGTTCATCTCACTGAAAACCAAGAGAAGCACCGACCCGGCGGTTGCGTCCGACGCGAGGTCCGACCACGCAGTGCAACGGCCCGGTGGCTGAGACCGGGAGACCCGGTGAGAAGGGGAAAGCGACAAGGTAGCAAGTATAGCTGGATCCAGCAACTCCGACAAAAGTCCCAGGAACACCTTCCTGGGGGGCCTGGGGGGTGGCCGAAAAGCCTCGGTGCATATGGCCTGTGCTACCCCCACGCACCTCGCGTGCGGCCTCGCGCTAGGCCTTGCGCTCCTTCAAGCCAAAGGACCGGCCCAGCAGTCTTCCACGCGCTTTCCGACGTGCGAGAGTCATCCACGTGTTCCGGACGACAATGGACTCCATGAGTTGGCAGGTGTCGCTCTTAGATGCTCTTAGCAGACCTTTTTTCCATATGCTACACTGGCACACCAGGTTGAGGCGGTGTTTTCAGAAGCTGACAAGGAGACCAAAACTGAAAGGGCAGCTGCTGGCATTGCCCAGAAGGTGCTTTGCAAGGACACGGTGTTCGTCCCAATGCACTCGAACTCACTGAACTCCGGCCTTCGCATCATTTTGAGGTATTATAGTGTAAATATGTTCATTTCATTTCATGTAGCGCGAAGTGTCCGTAGACTCAGCGCCTAGCACGCTGAATTCCACCTCATTATAGTGTATTATATATATAAATATGAACTTTATGATGCTGCAATGTTCCGATGCAGCGGCCTATGGATGCTATGATTGTGTCTTTGCTACACTGCTCATGTTGTTCTTTTTCTGCCTGTGGCGCCAACGGCGTTGCCAACGGCCGAATCGTGTGTGGCTCCAGGAGTATCAGCATCCCTTGCGGTCTCCACCAACCACCTGGCCCAGCAGGGCGGCCCAGTCACCGAATGGGGTGGCAGGGGGCTGGGACACCCGAGTGGCAGGGGGAGCTGTTGGATGGCCTGGGCTGTTGATGTGCACGAATTGATTCCGAAGTGCACTAATTTGCTGGACACATTGTGTTGATTGAATTCATTGTGTCCCACTGCTTTGCACATGTGTTTCTACGAAAACATTGTTTCATTATGTTTCATTCAACTTTTGAAGAGCAAAGGAATGGCATTTTCACTAGTGTTCAACATAGTGGGATCCTTTTTGGTTCCTTTGGTTCAACATGTTGATTCCTTCTTTTTCAACTAAGTGTCAAGCAGCTTTTTGCTTCTCGAACATGGGAAACCAAGGAACACGGGCCAGATCTCGACCTGAGACCTGTCGAAGAGGTGACCCGACCGACGTGAGCGCGTCGACGATGCGGCCACGGTGCCGAGACCGGTGACCCGTCTACTTCCCGAACCTTGCAGGGGGACGTTGACGAACCGTCTCCCATGTGAGCTACACCGTTTCGTCTTTTGCCCACATGATGGTGGCTGAATCCAACTCACTTTTTGCGCAAGGATGTTTGATTGTAATATATTGTAATGGAACATGACTTGATGCAGGTAAGGATGATTACATGTGTATTGTGCAATTTGGAGGGGTTCTATAATTAGACGTTCCATTGTTATGGCCGGCCTTGGAGTATAGCCAGTATAGCTGTCATCACGCCCAAGGTAGCACTGGAAGCATCCGCGCCGCTGCATTCCCAGTCTTTGTGATGTGTCCCCCAGTCGCTGTCAAAAATTACTGCATACTACAGACAAAGGGAGCAAACAAGTTTGTTTGCTTTGACATGTGCAGTGGCATTCTTAGGCCTGACAACTGCTTTGAGGCTCGCCAATTGGTGTTCATTTGGGGTTTGGGAATTTAACTGCTGTAGCAGTTGCTGTTGCTGCAGCAGTTGCTATAGCCGATTTTTTGTTTTTGCCATGGGCATGCTTTGCAGCAGAACTGGGTCAAGAACAGAAGTTGAATTTTGACAACGACTATCAACATTGCATTATTTCTCATTTCTTTCCACTGTCAGCAGTTTGGCGCTGGGCACAGAACAAGCTTTGGCTGTGTGTGTGGCTTCCTTCACCTTGGATGTGGGTCCGATGAACGACGTCATGCAGTGATGATGCTGTGACGTCATGCAGCGGTGATGCTGTGCCACTTGGATCTCTTACCAGGATGCAACGTTGTTGAAACTTCTTCCCCAACAGTGTGCCATTGGGATTAGGATGGGTTGAGTGCCCGTATTGGTGCACAAGTGTTTGATTTCATCGGTGAGCGAGAGCGTTGCTTCGCTGACATTGATGATGATTCTGTCATACTGCTAGAACACGCTGTGCCTTCCTTTGCCCTGATGTGACTTCCTAGATGATGTGACTTTTCTCGCTTGGAGCCGTGCCATGGGGCGTAAACGTGTGTAGTGGAAACTTGGTCAGCTCTTGGACTCCTGGGATTCAGATCTTCTGCAAGTATGATTGGGTTTGGTCATGTATTACACGTATCATCATGTATAAATTTCAGGCCTAATTCAGCTACAGTAAAGGTATCATCACAACCATGATGGCCGTAGAAAGTTCTACAAAGAATTATATACGCATTCCTTGAGTTCAATGAAGGATCCATTCTTGGCAGGTACTGTTGCTGTGCCAGTTGGGAGGCCACACTTGCACTTGGATGTTGAAATTGTTGATGCACTCTCATGAGCGTTTTGCATGGCTTGATCATGTTCGATCTTGAAGCCCTTTTTACATGTCAAGTGGGGCCAAGAAGCCCTATCGGCCCGTGAAGGCCTTGAGAAGACGCAGAAAAACAGAGCGTTTTCTTGTTGAGTTTGGGTTGGAAGAGAGCTTTTGTGTTGGAAGTGTTTGGGGTGAGGACCATGCCCTCCTATCAACAGGTTATGAGCCCAACGCATGATAGCTTTTTCCAAAAACCACCCCCAGCTCCCATGATGCGCCGTCGACGAATGGCGAATGGTGACCTGGAGCCAGAGCAGCTGGCATTGCCTCCGGTGGAGCCTGGTGATCATCCTCCCGCAGGACAAGAGCTGGCTGTGGTGGAAGAGGTGGAAAAAGAGAAAGATGGTAAAGAAGAGGAGGGAAAAAAGATGTTGAGCACCCCTGCTCGAACCACCACGGGGAATTTGGATTCGGGACCGGCGACACTCCCAACGGAGCCGGAAGCATCCAAAAGTGGAGGTTCAAAAGAAGGTCAAATGGTGGGTGAACTTGAAGCTCCTAGGGGACGACCTATGGCTCTGGTCCCACTGTCTCAGCCCTTTGAAGGCCAGCCGCTGTTTTCGCAGGAACAGCTGAAGGCATCAAGAAATGCCGCCAGAAAGGCTCCTCAGCTTTTCGGTGCCCTCGTTCCTCCAACTTCGTCAGGAACCTCAGGTTCTGAAGATCCGATGAGAAGGCCGGAGTTCCTCAAGGACGAAGAGAGAAGGTTTGGAAAGGGGAAGGACCGAAGAAGGGGAGAAGGAAGGTCAAGCGAAGAAGAAGAGGGTGAAAGGGTCAAGATGGGAAGTCATCGATCTAAGCCCCCCGAACGTTTTGACCTGGACGAACAAGATCGTCTTCGTGAAGAAAAAGAAGAAGAAATTTTGTGGAGGTGGCAAATCTCTCAAGAGGTAAGGGCCCTCTCTGAACTCTGCCGCTCGAAGCAGGAAGAAAACGATCAGCTTCGCCAGGAGCTCTATGAGAAGCGGATCCATGAAGAAGCCGCCCAAAGAGCGAAGGTTGAAGAAGAAGCGAAGCCTACAAGACCAACCTCGGCATACAACACCCCTGATGAAGGACCGACCATGCCTAAGCAAGCCCATGAAGGTAAGGATGATCGTGGTCGTACACCCTGGTCCTACAGGCAGCCCACCTATGGAGGGAAGGGTTCAAGGTCTCGGTCCAAAGAAACAAGAAGAAGTACAAGTCCTACGTTCAAAGGGGCTTTGGGAGGTGCTGGAATTTCGGCTATGGGGAAGTCTATGTCCGGGGGAGGAAAGGCATCCACTGAAGTTCAACAAATGGAAGTGATGACCCTTTTGGTGGAAAGTATGAAGGCCCTTCAAAGACAGATCTCAGAAGGTCATGAAGCACAGGGCACCATCAAGGGTGTGGAGGTGGTACGGCAGCTGGCCGAATTGCCCACCTTGGGTTCACTTCAAGGAAACACTTCGCAGCTGCAGCTGGGTGATTGGCTGCTGCTGGTTCAGCCGGTTGTGGCTGATTTGACCGCCACCTCGGACCAGTGGTGGGAGCAGACTTTGAGGGAGGTGGAAGCCTGGTATCAGGCACATCAGGCGATGGCGCCACTGGATCGAGTTCGCCACGAACCTGTCGCCCCTGCCTCGTTGAATGTGGCCAAATGGGCCAAGCTTGAAAGAAGAATG